TGTAGTGAATATCATCTTTAGGATTAATGGTATCGCCTGGTACTTTCATTTATATTGAGAATGAGTTGGTTAAAACTAAAAAATCCAGTTTGTCAATCTTAGAACGAAAAAATTGCAGCCAGATTACAGCTTATCAATCCACGCTACTGAGTTAGAGCAATTATAAACATTTTACTGCATATAACAAGTGTGATGAGAAGATCTATCATATCATAATTACCCATGAAATAACTACATATATTTGAGCGCTTTCCAGGCCGTAAATAGAGGGAAGAGTTAACGAATTTCACACGKACTTTCGGGTTYCCATGTTTTGTCAWATATAACCCTGAGTCAGTTGCGAAACTACTAAGAATTCAAAGTCAGCTATTGTAAAGCCGGTGTATACTTTTGGTGTTGTACTTAGGGACTTTGAGTGAATTAATTGCCTGATTTCTCTGCTTGTTAAGGAAACGGGTATTTAACAACGAAAGATGAATACCGTTTGCTAAACTAAAGTAATTGTGTTGGTGTTTCACTAATAGAACGGTAGTTGCGAGAAAAGATAGTTTACATCTCATAAAATGGCAACAGCTGGGACGCATTTAATTTTGAACAATCACACCAATAGTTGATAATATCCATGCAAAACCGTCCTGAGTTAGTTTCGAATCTTATTTCCAATGCTCACAATACGGTCTTTCTTTTTGCAACCCGTCCGGCAAGTTTTTCAAATCAGCTGAAGACCTCTAAACAGCATAGCATGACCTACTACTTTACATTCAACTTAAACTTTATTTCATGCAAATATTTTATAAGAGTATTGATATATACAAAATTTAGGGAACTGTGAAAATAAACAGGAGGTGGTTAGTGTTCAGTAGAGTTCTGCATTCGACTTAGTGACTAGGACTTATTAAAGAATAAAAGTGTGCATGTCACAGGAGCATATTAGCAATTCCTTTTTGAATATATGCCTCATGTGTCCTTAGTGTCTATAATCATTGATTGCGTGATGCTCATGGGAAGTTAAAATGACACGCAAATTTATTCTTCTAACAGCGAGGACAACATACGATTGACGGGCTTCTGTGTAGAAGCTTCAGTGCCGGAGTCTCGCCATAGACAAGGATGTTTCTCACTTCATTTGATGTTCAATTCGTGTTGTAAAAAAAACATCACAAGAATAGCTACTCGTTTAATAACATGTCGATCAATCCAAACCGCAGCTTGTCAGCGTAGTCATGCTTGGGTATGGCAGTATGGAAACGTATCGTACTCGCAAGCGCATGCTTGATAAAATCAACTGACTCAATGCACATGATGCTCGTGAAGCTCACATGAAACCAATAGAGGTTCCGCTCACAGGAGAACAGAATCCTTCAGCAAAACAACTACGGCACTTCATCAACCATAAGCACGTACTATATAGTTTAACTGCTTGTTTGACTGGTTTCAGTTGCCGCTTATATTGTTGCCTAAGAAGCTGGTACTTAATTTTGAGCGAGCAAGTTCGCTTACGCGAAAGAATCTTGGGTAAGTGTAGACACATTGTTATGAATAATTGCCTTTCCAAATTATAAATACTGTTGTTTCTAATACATGCCTATCTTCGATGATGGTTGGTTCTAAAATTTTGAATGTTTATGGATTTTGGAATTTTTGATTTAGAAAATGAAATTAATATTAAATAGAATACTTGCTAGGCTAAGTGTCACTGGATGCAGGTAATCAGTCACTGTGCAAAAATTGCCCTATTTTCTATTTTTACCTTTTTCCATTTTGTGGAAAATTGATAAGTTTACTATAGGCTGACACTACACCAAAGTTAATTYAGTTTGGGAAGAGTCCATTTAAAACTTAGATTCAATGTTATAAAGCACGTCGCATGACGTCATGCAGCAGTCATGTGATGTTATCAAATTAGCATATTAGTTTTTCAAACTTAATTGAGTTGCCTTAATTCTAGTAATTTTTATGAAATATGTCTTCTCTTTGTTTGCCGCTATAGTTCGAAATTAGAAAAACTCGGTTCATAAATGTAACTTATAATGTGTTATGAGTACCCGATGTACTTGTCGATCTTTCGGTCGAACATTGCCGGCGGGATTAAGTTCTCGGAGAGGTTTTTTTTTTATCATTATTCTTATGTCTCTATTTATTATTACCTTGAAATAGATAACTTCCGTCTTGATCAGTGAGAAAAGCAGTTTTTGTTGATACCTAAAATATTTTCATTTTTGAGACTCCATGAACTTTGACATTTTGAACACCTGATTTTGATGAGTAGCGGAAATCAACTCTCTAACGCTGAGAATAAGGAGCGGATTTAGGGAGAGGGGCCAGCGTCTACGAACCCTCTCTTTTGACGAACCATTTTTTTTTTACTCTTTAACTATTATATAATAAATGCAACAAGAAAACATCGAACAATAAAATGACCCTCGTTTTTTATTCATTTGCATTTTCCATTGAATATTAGTAATGTTGATAAACCAATGCAAATTCCCGCGAAAATTTCCCACAAACATTTCTCGATATTTTTCGTCAACGCTCCTTTTGAAAATTGACGGCCCTGACAATTGACTTTCAGCAGTGGATTGAACTTATCGATGAAGTATATGAATGAAAGAACTTCGATATTCATTTTCTTATGCAGAAAATACGTATACTTTTGTAAACAAAATAATAATAATTCAGACCGGAGGCTAAAAAAAACTCTTACTATACTGATGATTGAAATGTGAAAAAGTGACTCAAAGGGCTAGAGCGTTATATAAACACAATTTCGTTTACTTTTTGATCGTACTGATATGATTCGACGACTTACAGTTGTTTTGGCGTGCAAGCCGGTTACGTCATCACCGCCATGTTTCTTTCTCTTGCTCATTCATCCAACATGGCGGCGATAGCTTTGTTGTTTATTTCTCAAGGGATTCTTGCAGCGAGCCACATGACCAAGAATTCCCTACTTTGAAATATAAACAGTGCTATCGCCGCATGTTGCGTGTTGAAGAGTACGAACTCTCTGATTGGTCCAATATAGCGTGATCGCCGTTAAATGCACGCTTGCGAGCATAACTAACTTTCCTATGATAAAAGCTAGGAAGGATTGCTGTTCTTTGATCAGTGCCATATAAGAATATAGGGCACTTTTTGGGATGTAGGGAGAACACTCCAAAACGCCAAAACCACTCGCAGCAACCAGTTTACGCGGTCTTTTCTCTTGTTCTCCAAGCATCCCCGCATACTCTGTTTCACCGATGAACGCGGCACGGAAATCCGTCATTTATAGCTCAACTAAGTCAAGAATTGCTTAGATTTTGGTATGTTTATTTTCTATGAATGATTGACGTTTTGTCTTTTCCTTGGGGGGARGGGTGAGTCGTTCTATTGAAGGCCGTTTATTGTGATTAACTCTAACTGTGTTTTGACTACATTTACTTAAACTTCAAGTCTTGTACTGAGGCTCTTGTTATGTTGTTTTTACAAAATCGATGGAAGTTTAATAAATAAATAATAAGTCAACTGACCCCTCAGACCAGTGCATTGCAACCTACTTTGTCTCCTTGAAAGACTTGAAAATGTTAAGTCGATATTCTCCTGGATTGAAAYACTTTTAGAACTAGACCAAATGTTTTCTGTTTGCGTAGTATGTTTACATGCATAACAAACAACAAGACCAAGCCGAATTAACTACTTAAAACTCTGAAGTATCTCTTATCGCACGACTAAATGCAGTGACGTCAAAGAATTTACAATTTCAGTACAGAAAACCTCAATCTAATTTGTTAACTGTTTAGCATAGATTATAAACTATGATTCAAAAAAGAAGAATAATATTATTGAGTAAGTATAAGATTTATATTAATATCAAGAAATGTTACAAGTTATCAGTTAGTGATGTGGTATCTTTTTGTGTTCCTGTGTTAGATCAAGATTGTTCTGTAMAAACACTCCAAGGCACAGACTAGCGATAACAACTCGTCAAAATACTCATGACGAGCGAGTATTCTCCTACCTGCATCTCAATCAGTAGGAATTAATATTGCCTGAACAATTTGTCTGAGTCTTTTCAGTTGTTAAACTTGACGATTAAGTCAAATATGGTTGGCTTTGAATCTGCTTTGCGATAAACCTTGGCATGAGTATCAACTTTACACTGTCACCGCAGCTTACAKCATTTGTAAGATAGCCCGCGATATAGCTAAGGTCTTAATCTATTGTTTTCCAACGCCAACGTGATTTAAATCCTAAATAGCATGGGTGTGAAGGCTGGTACTTGCAAATGCAATGCTAACATGCAASGGAAGAAAGAAAACRAAGAAGACACCACGGAACGAACTCGTAAAAAGAGAAGGCGGTGTGCKCCGCTGACTGGAGTGAGTAAACTACGCAAGGCCGCTAATGCACGCGAGCGAGAACGCGTACGTGTACTCAATGAAGGTATTGAACGACTTAGGAAGCTACTACCTGGAAAGGAGTTAAAAATCAAGCCAACTAAGACTGAAATTATTTGGATGGCTGCACAATATATTTCTGAATTAAGAGATATTCTCCACGAGTGTGATTTAGATCAGTCGACAAGTGGGAGCGAGGAGCTTGAMGAATTCACAGAGACAACCGAGGAAGAAAGTACGGAAGATACTGCAAACTTGGAATCCTTGATGAAAATCGATATTGATGAGTTGGTGTCATTCGAAAARCAYCATCAAATATTGTTTTGTGAAAACTGCTATGAACTTTAGTGAGATATTTCCATTGCTTCAGTAGATAACTAAATAGAAGTCATGATAATCAGCAAAATAGTATTTTTATCTACATGTGCCGGCCTTGCAAGAGCTATGACTAACTTCTCTATCAATATAATCACAGTCCCGTCGAAACTTTCTGTCACAGTCCGCCAGGCAAACAACCGGAACTTTTGAATCACGAAGAAACTGTTATCAGTCTCAAAACAGAGCATGTTAGAGTTCCTGAAAAGAACGTTTATCTCCAACATCAGACTCTGCATTAAATCTAATCTTCTGTAGACGCAATACCAGCTTGTGGCCTAATGATGATTATCAGCCATAGCGTTTTACTGGACATTTGATACGGACTAGGGGAGGGATAGTTGGGTTTAAGCCTTAGTATATTAATTAATTAGTTGGCAATGCAAATAAATTTTCAATCAAAACGGTTTTATCACTTTTATCGGAATGTTTCATACCGGGCTTACAATGGTACGTGATTTCAGTCCAACCTGCAATCTGGGAAGAAGTACTAGGTAGCTTAGCTTCTTTCCGCTGAATCGTGACGTCACATACTATTTTAATTCTCGCCAGGGATGTCCTCGGTTGAGTACCCAGCTTAAACGATTTCATGGGTGTGGTCGAGTTTTTCCCATTCATAGGGAATTTTTTTTACCGCTTACAGCTGAGTAATCGTTACTAAATACCATGGCTGAAGTCTCGMAAAAACAAACTTTGTACACTTTGAACACGACTTAAATTCCCTCTCGTGACCATTTGACTGTCCTAGTATAAGATATTATTGATTACAAAGAGATTAATAGAACCAAATTTCTAGTTCCCTACGGCTGTCAAATGGAGTGCACGACCACCAAGGACGATCAACCAGCCCGTCAACTAGTAGACATCATTATATGATCACCTATACTTAGCTAAGCCTTTAACTCGAGATAACAGTGTGTTACATCGTACACACCTGGTTAGCGCATTTGCAACGTTAAAAGAACTGGTTGTGGAGTTCGCAACGGTCCTTTTCTTGCTAGAAATAAGAATTTCGCGTACTCTTTTTAGCTTGAATAGTTTTGGAGTGCGAACTGCGAAATAGAATACTGAATTATTGCTYAATATTTTGATTTTACTTGAACAATATAACTGAAAGCATGCGGAATATAAATTGTAAATTGGTCTAAAATTCGCATTTATCTATGAATTATAATTTATGGCGGATTTATGGAGTGTGTGTACGAGGGGGGGGGGGGGGGGGGGGGGGGGGGGATCGTTAATCAGTCGCTCTATCATCTGACAATACTAAAACGATGGAACCAAGAGCATTTCAAGATCACAGAAGAATATCGATCATTTTTGCAACCAACATGCTGTTAAATAATTTACTGGATGTGCCGACAGTCTGAACTCGAAAATTACTGGGCTAGAGACTCATCTGTGTGGCCGTCATTCGGGCTTCAATTCACTTAGGGAACTCAATTATTCGGCACTGAATATGAATTTTCATAATATGAATGAAGCCGAAAAATTCCTACCTAAATGTTTAGAAAAAGAAACTGAATTAATAAGTTCTTACTACTTTTACTATATCATTATAATCACTATATTACTAACATTGTTTATTATTCTGTGTGGCTCATTTTGTACCAAAGAAATCCGTACTAGTTACTTTTACAGGGAGAAAGMAAAATTCTTGCTGTCCTTGTTGTTATTAATGATGCAAAGTGATTTAGAATTTATGAGAATTTGATATGAATTTGGTCGAATTGATCCAAAGACCGTCTAGTCGATCAGACCGCAAAAAAACTGAGCAAAATTGTACCCTTCCAAGGAATAAATTTATTTGTTCGCGAAAAAGCCACACCAATTTGACATGAAACTSAATATACGGGATAAATTTCAACATAATTTAAKGAATTCATACTGATTCTGCAGTCCCRCTCCAGCTTGCGACGAACCGATATTTTTGGCAAAACCTGCAACGGGAAGCCCCTCGCGGATATGCGACGAGTCACGCAGCGGCAGTTCCTGCAATCAACTGCAATAAAAACATAAATATAGATTTGACAGTAAAAAATTGACTATCAAGTTGTCAGCGAGTACCATGAGTATAGTCACTGACAARCAGTTTGAAAACAGTGGACTTCAATAACAACCGATTTACAAGGTAGAAAAAGAGTTTCGAAAGAGTTGCACGTTCCAATTGCTATACGGTTCTAACGTAGYACTATACTGTAGGAAAAGCAAATACTTTAACATATATCAAACTTAGAAAAAACAAAGGATTCTTCCGTGTTTTGGATGTATATATAACACCGAGGTTGACCAAGAATTATGCGAATCTTCGAGTTTATCCGGCGTCAACGTATAAACTCACTAGTACATTTATTCCATAGATTTGTCCATTTTTTCGTCCATATACACACGACCTGATGCTGTCCTCAATAAAGCTAACAAATAGATAATTTCCAAAAGATACTGAACTTCTTAAAATAGATTGCTCACTAGCTAAACAYACAAAACAGCTGCCGCTTCTACTTGTAGTTCACCGTTTACTTCAWGAACGAACACAAGGTTGGACAACTATATTTTAAGATTATTTATTTGCCCGAAACGTGGTGGCAACCGGTACTGAAATGTCTTAAATTTGAGCGATTTCAAGATAAAAGATTATCAATTTTTGAATACAATACATTTAACTGGGATATTTCGTTGGGATTTGATCAATATTTCAAATATAGTTATTGCTGCAGGGAAAGGTATTCCGTAACCACAAACTAGAGTCATTACTACAATCCATGTCCAACAAACGTTGAGTTTCAACAGACTTTGTCTTGTCTCAATGTCTCTCGTTGAATCAAGACTGACTTACTTCGTTGTAAAGTACAAGTTGAAAACGAAAACAACCACGGAAATAAACAAAGATATTTGCAACAAAGCCCAGAGAGACTGGTACAGGTCAGGCCACGTGACCTCAGCTCAATGGCAACGTGTTCCCGAATTAATTCGGACTCCATATTCAGACAGCATATATTCTTCCAGAAAAAGGTAACCTCTGCTTGAAAACTGAACTATTTGAATTCAATTTGTTCTAGTACGTTAGAGGAATGATTGTAGTTGTTGATGGTTAAGTTATTTGATCAATGAAAAGCTGTTTAGACTGGTTATTTTCGACTTGATTTTGGTGAATATATTGGATGACTTGAGTGTTTTCGCTTCGTTGTGATGTCAGTCTGGTATTGGCTAACTTATCTTGTTACGAAACATGCAAACGGCTTTCTTCTGGTTTAGATAATTTTCATTGATGTTTCAAGAGAAGATTGGTCATCAAACGAAAGTGTTATTTGTAAGGTGGTTTGTG